TTGTCCATTTTGAAGGGTTTCGGTGGAAAATCCCTGTGGCGTTGGGATTTTACTCTGGAACTCATGCGCATAAATACTGACATATTGGCGGATTCCTACAAAACGTCAACCGCCTACAAGCCAAAAACCCTCAGCAATGACTTGTGATGTCTTGCCCCAGGGTTAAGAACGTAAGGTAGAATTTATAGCATGGAAAAACGAAGAAAAACTGACCTGGAACACGAAGAATATGCTCACTGCTACTCTCTTTAATGTTACACTGAAATCAAACGTAGACCATCTCCTGTCTTTCTAAGCTGCGATTTATCACAAGCTTTTGTATTAAAACTGGTTTTGGGTCATCGCTGGTGATGCTCTGCGAGCTCAGCATTCAAACCACAAGCTTATTGTCATTTGCACCACAAGAGCACGGTTAAAGTTGTTTTGTTGGTTTAGAAGACTGCGAGGTTCTTAGCTGGCAGAGCTCTTGACCAATTAAACTCTTTAAAATCTCCTCCCGACCATAATTACATCTGTCTTAACACAGGGGTTGACAGAGAGACCGGTTAAAGTTTTGGTCGAACTCACGCTGTTGTAAGACAAGGCTGCAAGTAGTTCGGCCAGTCTTTGGGGCCGCCGTACTTTCCATATGCCTTTTAGTATACTAGCATCGTAGTTTTTATTGGCTATCTTACTGATTAGGAAACAGGATCGATGTCCCCATAAGCATTTATTTCACCATATGGGAAAGCACGTTAACAACTTCAGTCAGTTTACCCACTACTGAATTACGACTTTACTGTTGGAACCAGGTGCTAGAATGTTTTGGAAGAAAGAGATCTTTTGTTACTTTACACATTCATTTTATGCATGGCTACCATGTTCGTAGGTTAAGCTTTCAAGAGCTAAAAAGCAAGCCTGAAAAATATCTTGACAATATAAGTACTCTTATTGTGTAAATGTTGCAATCAAACCGGAACAAACTAAAATCAAAGTTTAAACTCCTCACACCTGATATCATTTCCGTTATTGCTCGCGAATTTCTAATCTCATTAAACTCATGTCAAGTTCTTTTAGATCATCCTACTTGCTGCGAAAGCGAAATTTTGGACTCAAAATGCGGTACAAGAAATTAAACACGTCCTATAGATAGGGGTTCAGACAAAATCATTCGTATAAGTTTGACGGTGTTGTAGAAACAAGAGTTTTATTCAGCCAGCTAAAGTATACAGTTTAACTACGTAAACAAGTATAGGTTTGTTCCTAAAAGACTCAGATTCTACACAGATCGCCTGTGGAGTACGTTTGCACTTGACGTTCGCTCCGAAATTCATCATACAAACAAGCCTAATAAGACATCGACTCAATGGTTAATAAATCCAAAGCGGAACCAACGTAATATGGAATAAACAAGTGTTGGAGACTACTCAAAACACAAGGGCATTGAAATGAATTTTGATCCAACATTTTCGACCTATTCTATTCTTGAACATTCACGATACATAGACAACAGGTAGTCTTACTACAGGGCTTTTGAAGGACAGATATTATTTCAGGAGTGACACTGGATAATAGATCTTGAAAAGTTGCTACAAGCACCTTCGGTTCGGAAATCCGTCTGGAGTCCCAGGCGGAAATTGTAAGGGAGAGAGAAGTAATCATATTGTATAGCTAAACCGTGGTACCGAATTACAACGAGAATATCCACCTCACACTGGTGGCCGAAAGAGAGCAGAAAGCCCTTGGGTGAAATCTCTTTTATGCAAAACCTGCCGTCTAACCAGCGCGCAGTCGATCATCTGTGAGTGCTGCTACGAACGAGACGCCGGGTCAATGAATTTCAGAAAACTAACGAAGACCAAATTGTCAAAAGATCAAAAGATCC